CCCCACAACAGAAAAATGATTCAAAGCTAATACAGCTTTTAGGTTCATTTAGAAACCACCACAGACTGAAGGACTAATAATTGAGCTTGTTAGCAGGGGTTGGTAAAATACCGTAGACTTGTTCTAGGAAACTTCATCATACGTATCATATGTATCAGCAATACTGCAGGTACAAAGCTGAAAGCCTCACACTTACTTGCCACAATGGCCTACATGCTAAGATCAGGGTCTTCCTAACCTAGTCTCTGTCTTGGACAGGTTTTTGTCTCCCTAAATAAGTGGTTTAAAAGCCTTCCAGGAAACAAGATCCATGATCCTGCAGAGACCCTTGGATACGAGCACATTTTAAAGCTTGCTAAAGGACAACAGTACTCTATCCTGAGAACAAAACATCAAGGATCAATACGAAACAGTGTCACCATATCCTAGTTTTGACCATTGATGTTATCTTCAAATAGGCCCCTTTCTTCCTATCAGGCACGTATACCTCCTTGCTTTTGTAACATCCTGCACCAGATTAAGAGTGTGTGCAGAAACCTGGACACGGACAGTAAAAACAGATACATAAATTACTTAAAGCCTGTGTTTAGAACCCTCTTACCAACCTGAATGCAGGTTTACTACTAAGGTAGTAAACACCTTCATCAATCCTGATGGTCTACAGCCTGCATCAGAAGTGAGTACCATATGCAGAAGCCTTCTCAGATAGCATGGATGGATCAGCTGTCTATGTCAGTAGTTGGCAACCTTTTCCCAGTGGTAGACTGGACAGACATGGCTTGGGTCCAAAGCAGGCCAGCTCTAGTATTTGGGGGCCACCAGCCCTTTTCTGTGTTGCTTAACCATTGGCATTGGGAAAGCTCCTCATCAACCAGTCACAGCATGGTGCAGGCCAAACCCCCAGCTGTGGCACAACATAGATGCAGTCCTTCATTGCCAGAATTCCTCCAAAGCCTGCTGCTGCTGAAGATCCCTGGCTCTACAGGCTGGATTTGGCTCATGGGCTGTAGGTTGCTGACCCCCCAGTCTATATTCCACCCATTCCCAGAGCTTAGTGCATTCATCTATCTAGACATCTAAGGGATGTTAATCCAAGTGTTATGGATCTGACCCACACTGTTATTGATGTCATTTCTGATCATTATAGCTGATGCATAATTTAGGCAAGGAATCTTCCCTTCCTCCTTCAAACATGCAAGAATCGGTTAACGCTGAAGAAATCTGCCTGTATACACATCAGTCTAGCGAACAGTGTCAAACCTGCCATTCTGGACAAGTTCACAGAGAAGCAAACCAAAGACCCTCTAATTGAAACACCCCAGATCAGTTTAGGTTCAGGTCAGGACATAGAACTGAGCATACTATGGTAACCCCAAAAGATGGTCTCTTTTTGTCCCACCGTGGATAGAGGATAGACATCCATCCTTTTTCTTTCTGTACCCTTCTGAAGCACTTGATAGTGTTCACCATCAGGTATCATGGTGGTATTACTGACTCACCCGAGATGGGTGGCAGTCAGCTAGTCAGCAGGACTAGTCAGAGGATCAAAGTTGTCTACTCCTACCACCGTTCTGTTAGCACAGGTGGTCTGGACAATGGCTCTAAAGTTCTAAACCCTGATGATGATCTGAGTTGCGTATGAATATGATCCTATGTAATGGAATTTCTGGTTTTATGTTTTTGGGGGTTTTTTAATTGGGAAGTTGCATTCCAAGCATTACACTGAAGCCATGGATAAACATTAGCTTAGTGTGGTTTCGAAAGAAGAAGGGTAGCTGTTGCTTTGGATCCCCACAGCAGTTTGTTGCGCTGTAAAAGTTAGAACAAATTGCATCAAAAGTGCTCTAATTTTAGCTCTGCTTCATTCAGCGTTAAAGTTGGAGTGATTCAGTTTATTTGCATTGCTTTAGGCTCACACACGGTGCAGTCAGCACTTAACAGCTACTGAGCACACCAGCACAGCTGCAGCAGCTCCCCCACCCCTTTTGAAACTGAAAGTTTGTCTGTGCCTTAAAAAACATGTTGCAAAGTCTAACAGTGGGTAGTTGGGAAATGGCAGAGTTGAAGCTGGCCATGCAAAGCTGTGCAGGTTTCAGAAAATGTTATCATCAGGTTTGAATGATGTATTGCTTTCAAGCCTATATGATATGATCTGTGCCTTTGCCAGTTACCACTCCCAAGAGAGGAATTGATGTTTTCTCTGGTACATTTTCTGGAATATGTAGAAGTCTGCTAAAAGTGAACTTCTGCAAGCAGATTTACATCTCAAAAGTTATATTCTTCAATGAAAGATGTATTCAGTGGTACGAATTCAAGAAAATGCTTTGGGCGAAAACAAGGATGTCATCAAGAAAATAATTTCTCAACTGTTCACTGCTACAGTTGCTGTTTCTGGTGTTAGATTGGAATTTCATTCTTTGGCCTGGTGCAATCAAATGTTAGAAATGGGACAGGGATAGGTAGAGCTTCAATTATTATTTTTGTTCTTTTTAATCATCAAAACACTCAGTGAAAACACTGCTAAATAGGATAGATAACAGAAGACTAGTATTGTATTAATATATTTAAAATGTTGCATTTGTGACATATTGATATATTTATAACTCAATATTTGAGAATTGTGTATTAAAACAATGTCAGAATTTTGAACATTCTAACATCTTAGCAGAAGACAGGGTAGAGACAAGGGCTGTGTGAAGTTTGATCACTGATTCGATTCAGAGGAATTCAGAAAGATTTGATGATTCGGACATAGACACAGCTTTAAATGTTTTTTCTACATGCCTCAAGGTACCAAGCAGCTTGTGAATGATGAGATGCTGGGATGGATGGACCATCCCATGGGAGCACAGGGGGATCCCCAGCACGTTTGGCAGTGGACCCAGAAGTGGACCAGAAGCACATGCAGGTCCACCAGGGAGCGTGTGGGGGACCCCTCCTCTGCCCCCCGGCTCAGTGACTGGTGTCTCCTGGGTCTGGGGGGCACCCGGGGTCCCACCATGGCTGATTGCCGAGTCCACTTCTGAATTCGCTGCCAAGCACACAGGGGGGCCCCCACGCTCCTGTGGGACACTCCGTCCACCCCACCATTGCAGCATTCACAACCCGTGCCTAGTACGTTGAGGTATGTAGAAAAAGCATTTAAAGTTGTGTCTGTGTCCAAATTGCTGATTCTCTGAATCGGCATCAAATCTTCAGATTCAGCTGAATCGAATTGGGACAGTGATCCAAATCAAATCACTGTCCCTGATTTGGGCTGAATCCGAATCGAATACGGTCCATTTTGCACACCCATAGCAGAGATGTAGCTTATTGACTAACTGAATCAGAGAGGCTTAAGTAGGAGATCTCCCTAAATAATGGGGTGGACTTAACAATTTTCACAGGTTGATCGCAGCATAAAGTTCTAATTCTGTGGTCATTTTGTGGTGGCTATGTGCCTTGGCACTGATTTGAGGCACCCCATTGGAAAGTAGGGTCAAGGGGGTGGTTGCCATCTTTATTGCTGGCTACTGTTCAGCAGCCCTGCCTCTCAGCGCTGATTGGTGGAGAGGCCTTGGTGGGGGGAGGGGGGGGAAAGGGGGCAGCTGCCATCTTGTCTGCTGCCCTTTGTGTTGCGGCACCTTTTGCTCTTGGCAGTGAGGACCACTGGCTCCCACTGGGGAGCCAGCATTTTACTTCTTTTAAGTTTTTTCAGTTGTTGATTTTTGCAGACAATCCTGAATTTCACAGTTTCCGCAGAATCTGTGAAAATGGGAATTAAGTAGGTCCCTTGGCAGAGTAAGCTCACGGTGCATCAGATACATTGTAATGCTAACACTAAATAAATGTGTAGCTCCCAGGACTGTTCTAACTTACGATGCAACTACAAGGCACTTTTCTCCCTATTTGTTTCCTTCCTCCCCCACTAACTTCATAAATCTTTATTTAAAGAGACCACTTTCAGGTCGATTACATTGCTGTTTCATTGTTTTGAGTGTACATCCTTTCTTGTTTGTACAACTAACACCTACTACTTTTCTGAAAAGAAAATTGCAAACATTGGAATATGTATTTCTCAAATTAGTGTATGTTTACATTTTGCATTTTATTCAGCTCATGTCAGTCAATTTAATTTTGTATTTTTTCTTCATGTCTAAAGAGCCTGCATTCTAAAAAATGGAGTGATTTTTTTTTCATATGAAAACTGCAAGAACAGTTATTTTTTAAATTGGGCTTGTGACTTTTCCTGCTTATGTGTGATTTAACTTCTTGTATAGGATATAAAAGAAAGCTCCAAAATATTTATTTTGGCAGGGAAAAAAAATCAAAGTTTGCTGCTGCTTTTACTTTCACAATTAAGTCTAGTTTGACTTCTCCCTCTGTACAAGTGAAAATGGCTAGTTGGTATGAATGTCCAGCCCTTGATCCTCTGGGTCTTCATGTGCAGATAACTCTTTTCCTACTTCATTTTACCAGTGTTCCAGAATAGCTGATATCCTTTTTTGCTCATTGCTCATTTTCCAAATGTCTCATGTTGCAAAAGCTGCTTATTCTGGGTTTTGTGCCCATTAGGACACTGCATCTTACTGGGCATGCAGACTTTTTATACTGGGGGACCAGTGTCTAGCAGAAAAGTTCTCAACCATGCTGCACCCTTTTCTAATATAATTTTAAGGTTTGGAATTTAAGGCTTAACAATAAAGAAATAAACGCTGAAAGGTTAAACTATCAGTTGTAATAATCTGTGGTGCTAATGAATATATATCAAATACAACTTAGTTTACATCATTTTTAAAAATAAACTATCTGATTAGGCTAAGCCCCAAAGATAAATCTGTTTAACAATTTAAAATTGGCATGGCTCTTGATTAAGACTTAGCAGAAGAGCATAGTATGATAGCATAGCAGCGTTTTTATGTATTAAAAATCTATTTTGCATAAGTTGTTTGTGATATTTTTAACTATGAAGTGCTAAAAATGCAATTTTTGAATTAAGCTTTTTTATTTTTTTGAAACAGGTTACTCTGAAAGCAAAACAACTGAAGGAGTCTGTTGCATATACTCCAGGTTTGTATTTGTTTAAAAATAAATTGAGATTTATAGCTATGCAGAAGCAATGAATAGTTCATTCTGCAACTTCCAGTGTGACCTGTGCAGAGAGAGTCTATGGCCTTCAGTGTATGGTCTGTGGAAGTATTGCGCTACACCCACTCATCTGGTGCAGAGGCTGACAGGCATTCTGCGCAAGTTGTTTCTGTGTAAAGCTGGCTACATAAAGACCATGTCTTCAGTCTTTCTCTGTGGTAGAGATTCCTAAACTTTTTCTTATTGCTTACCCTTCTCCAGATTTACCAGCTGCCCATGTACTCTTACCAGCATACGGTTTATATTTTAACCCCTTAATTGCTTGTTATTATAATGGCAATTAAATCCACCATCACACTTTTGGAAGAAGCATTTCAGTATTATTTCTGCAAAGGTTCTCAAAATAGATTATAATAATGCAGGCTGTCATGATTGTAATAGTGAATTCACACTTGTGAGTGCTCAAAGCAAAATGCACTTATTATTTCTAATGCAGCGCTGGAGGACAGAGTTCACTGCACTCCTCAGTAGAGCCCTGGTGCAGAAGGAGCTAAACAAGTCATGCACAGGCTTGATTGTGTCTTTTACAACTAGGACAGAGCATAGAAGTATGGTGTCTTAGGTTAGTGTAATAAGAAAGCTGGACGTATACTGCACTCAGCCAATAACACATTAGAGTCGTCTAATTTTTCTCAGCATCGTAAAGTTTTATAATGTTCTAAAAAATTTCTAGTCTTGCTTTTTTGCCACTTCTCCTTTAAAAGATTTGGGGAGGAGGTAATAGAATGAAACTGACCTGCAAGAGTGCTGCACTGCCATGGAATACAGGACAAGGGGAACAAGAATACACGTGGAGCAAGGCAGGCAAGATTCACTGTCAATGGGTGGAGAGAGAATGGGGTAAATATGAAAGACAAGAATGAGAGAAAAGAAGAGGGTGATCTTCAAGAAAAAATTAAAAGAATAACAGAGAAACAATTAAGATAACAATTAGGTAGAGAGATGGATATGAAACTGATTTGGGTATGGATGGAGGAAAAAAAAGATAACAATGAAACAGGAAAAAAGGGAAGGAAAGATGCATGCAATTTTATTTCATGTGTTCATGACCTTTTATTGTATTTCCCTGGGATTTATTCCTTATCTGTGACTTTGAGAAGAATAGATAGAATGAATATTTTGAGCAGTCATACATGGCTACTCACCATTATGTGATTAGTAACTGGAAAAGCCATGAAAATGCATTAGGAATGACAGAAATCGTTCCACGTTCTGGGATCCTCATGGACTGTGTCTAGAGGGAGTAACTAGCTTTGGGTCTTTTTATGAGAAAAAATTCATTTAAAATATTTTAAAATCTAAACTGCAGAAAGTTGCCCTTAGTATTTTGAAATGGTCTGGTGGAAGCTATGCCTCCTCATCTCTGCAGTATGCTGTCTTTTTCTATTGCTTGATCTACTAGTCCAGGGTGTGAGGGGTTGTGCCACGACCTGGTCCTTCTGTAGTTGTGTGGCTTCTGGGTGACTCTTTCGTTTGGTATCTCAGTCATGTGAGCTCTGTCCCATATCTCTCTTAGGTTGTAAATGTGAGTCCCCAACCAATTCCCTTTTCATTTAATTTTTGGTGATGTTTACATATAATACTGTTCCCAGCAGGTATCATTAAGCTCTCTGAACTTAAAACCCTGGCCCAGAATCCCAAAAATGCCACTGTGAATTTGCCAGACCATATAATCACTCAGCGAGAAAGAGATGATGAGGAAGAAGATAACTATCATGGTGACCCACAACAGGTGGAGGTTCCACCAGATTACAGGGAGCCCATGACAAGTGAAACCAGACATCGCAAGAGAAAAATGGCTAAAGCACCTGAAATGACTCTAGCAGAGATGAAAGAGGTGGCAGAAGACAAGGGTAGAGGAAGGCGCCAGAAAGACTTTGATAATATGGAAGAGGATGAAGATAGTGATGATGAGAATAGGAAAAAAGAGAAAAGTCGCAGCTCAGAAGAACTGTGGACTCAAAATCAACAGAAGCTTCTTGAACTGGCCTTACAGCAGTATCCAAAAGGAACATCAGACCGCTGGGATAAGATAGCAAAATGTGTCCCTGGTAAAAGTAAGGTAATGTTGCTCTTTTATATGGGATTAGAATACTATTATAACATGGAGAGGGCATTTCCTACTGATTTAGCAACTGGCTAAAGGAATTGAGTCCCTAATGAAGCATAGGATCATTAACCCAGCCTGTTGCTATCTTCCTAGATATGCCCAACTAACTCGGTTATTTCCCTATTAATAATAATATTGATATAAATATGTCCATCACTTAATTGTATTTATGTTCTGTGTGTTGGAAAGATTAAGGTGAGCTGCCATTTAAAATACCAGTCCTTGCCCCACAATTAAGACTTAAAAGGCTAAAAGGAAAATAGATGTAAGTTTTAAAATAAATTCTCATGGTCAGATCTGGTGTTAGAAAATCTGTCCTGCAAACCCTCCCTGCACCACCCCACCAACAACATGCTGGATCCAGTACTCACTCTGGCCAGTCTGGAACTATGCCACATGCAGCACCTGCTCTGGGACACGAGATGCACATGGTGCCCACTCAGAGCAGTCTGGGATGTCGGGCTCACTTCAGCTGGTCCAGGATACACACTGCATGCATTGCCTGCACCTGACCAGCAGGGTGCTGGATCCAGCATGCAGAGGGAGTCTCAGATTGGCCCCATATGGGTGCTGCATGCAGCATGGGTCCTGTAACCTGCACACAGGGTCAGTCTGGTACATGCTGTGTGTGGTGTATGGGCCAACCTGAGACCCGGGGGCAGCACCAGGGACTGAATGAAGGGGCTCTGTGGGCTGGATCTTTATAATCTCTTTGAAATTGCCTGGTAGAAAAGCTCTGCACGGAACAAAGGTAGGCATTGTGTTCATGATCCGTGTTTTTTGCCACATTCAGAAATAGCCCAGTGGTAGTGGCAATCTAGATGCTGTACAATTGAGTCTCAATGCATTAAAGCATCAGGGTACATGAATCTCACTGGTGTTATGGTAGGGAAGAATACATGTGAGTGGTTCCAAAACAGTCTTTCTGGCTCGGAAAATCATTTCAGCACATGGGTTAATGGGCTTGCTAGATCAAGATGATAGTAAGGGCTTCTCTGGATTTGAAGGCTGCCAGAACAACAGCTTCCATACACCAGCGGATTCTGGAATAGTCATTTGGTATTTCTTTGAATGTTCAAAAAACCCAGAAATGAACAGGGCATTCGTTTTTAAAACTGCTGTTGACAGTATTGTGAAGTTTTGCTGATTCTCCATTATCAAGATAGAAAGTGTTTGTTAATATAAGACAAACTTTACTGTTTTGTCTGGCCTCTAAAGTTGTTCATCTGATGAAGTCATTTATCAGCTATCTTTTGAGAAACCCAAAGTGAAAAGTTTGGGTTTTTTAAACCTATTTTTCATCAAGTATAGATTCATCTTCTCTCCTACAAGCTCAATACACGGGTAAATATTTTTCTGGGTTTTTTTCTAAAAGTAAAACATAACGAGCAGCTTTATATAGTGAAGTAGCATGTGTACAGTCAAAACAATATGAGGATTCAAATCACAGTTAATTTTTCAAAGATAAATGCTTTCATTTCTTCATTTTTACAGGAAGAATGTGTGGCAAGATACAAGTTGCTTGTCGAACTGGTACAAAAGAAAAAAATGGCTAAAAGCTGAATATTCTAAGCAGAAGAATTTTACTTCTCCTTTTCCAGAATGGGATTATATTTTAAATCTCAGATGCAGTAATTTGCATTTTTGTACCTCAGTATTTCTATACGTTATGTGCCTTAGTAAGAGAAAATATCGATAACATTAATAAATCTTCTGTTATGTTGCTTAACATTTTCTGTGTTAAAAAGAATCAAAATGTATTTTTTGTATTGGAGAGCTGTCTAAACAGACATCTTATTGTATATAGTCTAGGAGGATAGGTTTTTTAGAACACACAGATAATTTATTGAATGCAAGAATTGATGACTTCAGTGTGAATGAATATGCAATATCCAAAGTTGGAGTGGCCAACATGTGGCACAGGTGGCTTGGGAAGTTCCTGTATGACGTGACAAATCAGGGAGGGGTCAGGCAGCACAACAGCAGGTAGGCCAAGGGTCAAAAACAGAGTAGCAGATTGCACAGGGAGCAGACAACAGTGCAGGAAGGGGATCAGAATGGCATGTGGCGGGGTGTGTAGGGCTTAACTTGTGGCATGCTTGCCAGAAGATTGGCCTCCACTGATATAAAGGATTTGAGGCTGGAGTGTCAAACTATGCTCTGCCCTGAACCCAGATCCTGACCATAAGGAGCCTTGCAGGCTAGATGCGGAACCAACAGCAGTGGTGAGGCAAGTGACAGTACAGGGGTTAATGTAGCTGTCTTTTGCCTTCCCATCCCCACCCCTGCAGACATCCATCTCCAGTGGGACTCCACAGGAGGGAATTTGGGTGTAGGCTCCATCCCCAAATTCGTGGGCCCTCTGAGAGCTCCATGGGCTAAGTGAAACAGCTCTGCGGGTTGGATCCAGCCAGTGGGCCATATGCCTGAGAGCTCTGGTACAAGGCATGCCTTAAAGGAGGCTAACGTTTGAAAACTTTTATGAGAAAATTTAAGCAAACATGAGATTGTTGAGATCTATTTTTTTAAATTCTGGGTTTTGTTATTTTCCAAACAGTTTGTTATACATACACAGTATACACATGCATCTGTATTTTCTAGGTAAGTAAAACATGTACACATATACAAATGTGTGACCACATACTTTAAATTAAATTTGTTGTATTTTAGGCCACTGGGTATTCTTATGCCCTCAGGCTTCACATGCATTTATGTGTTGCCAGCCAGTCTGCACTGTATTTGCTTTTTCATTGTATCTGAAAGGATAACATAGGGTTATATCAAGTAATATTCTTATTTACTCATATTCTCACCTGTTCTAAATTAAAATGTTCTTAAATGACGAAATGCTTGAGAGCATACAATTGTATTTGATATATCTTTGTATTTGGAACTACAGAATTTGATTTAGAATTTAGGTGATTTTCCCCTCCAGTACTTCAATATTTATGCTATATTTTCATTTTCTTACACTTTTATATTTTTGCTACCTTGTTTTTACCTTTGAGCATTGAACAAACAGCATTTAGGTATGGTTCATCATTTGTTTTGAGGTGTTTTCGAAAAGCGATGGAAACTATGAGAGAGATTATAATGGTTAGATGTCAGAAGGACTTTCATAATGATGTCAATACTTTGGAGAGAGAGTATTTATTCATCTGCGAGAGCTATCACAGCTTCCAGAATTATTCAACATTCAGTTGCAAAGTAACATATGGTATTCTGATATGCTTTTGAGGCTTGGTTTTTATTTTTCAGTGAACGAGAGGCACCTGCAGCTCCAAACTGAATCAATGATATTTCTTGACCTACAAGATTACAGCTAGTCAAACTTCAACAGAATTATTTTCTGCCAGAAAAAGTATAACTATTAGAATTTTAGTCTTGCAGGTGAGAGGTAAAAAAGTTATTTTAGTTATATCAAAGTATTCTGTTTCAGCATTTTGAAAATGGAACGTTTTCAGTTGTTTTGTTAATTTTAGATTAGTTTTTACTTCTCAAAATTAAAATGAAATGTTAATTTTATTGAACAAAACGTTCTGATTGAGCCATAATGATTTTTTTTAAATTTTATTTCACAGTAAATTTCAGAGATTTACTTTGTTCCACTTTGGAGCAGAAAAAATTTCACAAGGACCTCAGTCTACAAGTTAATAACAGGGGTGCCTATATACATGCGAGGCGCCTGCTCCGACCCCTTGTAATTAGAGTGTGTTGGAGTAGACTTGCTTAATCTAATTAGAATTCTCCAGCAGCCTTGCTGCCGCATGTACTCAGTGTCCCCATGTTTTAAAATGGCAACGGGGGGCTTTAAAGGCTCCTGACTTTGAGGATCAGTCCTACAGATCTCCTGTGAAACAAAAACTGCGGTTCTCCTTTGAGTGCTTGTCCCCATGGCCATCCTTACAGTGGGTACACATGCACTTCACACTCAGAAACATTTCACTTTAGCAGTGCCTGTTGAGTATGTTATAGCTCCACCACTCCTTGTTCCCTGTGCCAAGTGGATTAAGAGTAATACTTACTTCCTGGTCCTCGTTCCTATCAGACACCAAGGCTACAGACATCACTCTGCTGATTTGTGTGTACAGCCCTACTCGAGCCCTTCCTTCAGAGTATTGCTTATATTACTGATGCAATTATTATTTTCATTGTTGTTTCTCTGTCTTCAAGGAAGAAAAAAAGCATATTAGTTTCTAGTAGTTTTTCTCGTTTGAAGTTTGCACCTCTTCAGGCCCTGTAATTTTTACTGCAGCACAGGTAGTACTGTATTTGGGGTTGTCTTCCCCTTGTTGGCTGTCTCTTATATCTTCTCTTCTAGAGTAGGGAATTTATGTTATTGCTTAAAGTGTCATTATGGTTTCTTCCCAGTCCATGGAGTTTAAGCTATGCATGTCTTGCAGTAGTGCTATTCTTGCATTGACTGGACACATCAGATGCCTGCATGGATTAGGTTTCCCATGTTTCTGGGAAATGTACCACTTGTAGGTTTCTTACATCCATGACACACAGACCACAAAGCTTGCCTCCAGGCAAAGGACCAGAGACTCAAGGTGGGTTCTGTGCATCCTCTGGCACTGGCTTTTCAGAGGGCTTCCATCTCCTCAGCTACATGGAGACCAGCAATAGGTTGCAGCCCTAAGACTGGCTCCTGAAGGAGGTCCCATATCCAGGTCTCAAGGAAGCAAGCTTCTCCACTGCCTTATCCACCCTAGTCCAAGACTTTACTGTGCCTTCTCCCCCCACCTCTACATATACTGTTAAGCTTGCAGTGCCCCCTAGCAACGAGGCTCTGGTATTGTTTCCCAGCTCCAGCAGTGGACCTCATACCACTACTAAGAAAGCCAGAGATAAAACAGCCTAAATCAAGGGTTGGCAATCTACAGCCAACAGAGCCATTTTACTCGGCCTGCAAAGAGAGGGAGGAGAGGGCTTCTTTAGTATTTGGATGATTGGGTGGGCTTCTGCAGTCTTCTGCAGTGAGGGGGGGTTTGCTTGGGCAGTAAAGTGAAGCAGCGACAGCATGTGGGGGGAGAGTGGTGGTAGAGGTGGTGCAGTTCCAGGTTTCGTGGCAGCAGCATGAGCTGGTCTGGAAGCAGTCTGCGCGTAGAGCTGAGCCCCACTGAAGCAGCCCACTGTTGCAAAATGTTGCTGACACCTGGTGTAGATGATCCTTCATATCTCTTCAGTAGAGCAGTGTGTTTCCAGTGTCTGGTGCTGAAATGCCCAGTCTCTACTGCATCTGGGTGGAATATGGTTCAGTTCCATTCCCCATCGTCATCTCCTTAGCAGCCTGCTTTGTCAGTCACGACACAGAATACCTTTGCATTGCACTTGGGACTGATGCCTTTGATCCTGTCTGATCCTTGTAAATTTTTGTCCAGGAGCACTCTGCCTTTGTATTCAAATCCATCCATGCTTCCAATGGATGTTGGCCTTGCCTCCAATTACTTAGCACCACCAGCAGACGCTCCGTCCAGTTTAGACAGTGCAGCACAGCACCATCTGCTGCTTCAGCTTAAAGGCCTCAGCCACTTTTTGACTGGAGTCCTGACCTGCCATGGTGCCCTGGCAAACCTTGTGGTTCCTGGCTCAGTGGTCTCAGGATTCCTACCTAGTCTTTCTGATACAGCCTGACAGGCTTTGGGGTTTTAGGCTACCCCTAAGGTTGGGAGTAGGTTTGGTTTATCCAGCATTGTGTTTATTGGCTTCAGTATACAAAAGCCCTCTGCCTAGCATGGCCTTCCCTGGATCAAAATAATTTTTTGGGTCTATGTTTGATACTGGCTGATCTAATCCATCCCTGTCTTATTCCTCAACTGAGACTTGTCCCTGCCTTAAAAACACCAAATCAGTGCTTTAAGAGCCCATCAGAACCTGATGCTCTGTGTGGTTCAGATCCTTCACATTTATTTTTAGGTAAGCTTTTATGCAGCCTAACTACATCTTACAGCTCTCCATCCCAACAAAGGTAGCTCAGCCAGATCCATTAACTGTCTGGCAGACAGTGGCTGCTTATCTGTCAACTGTTAGAAGTGCAGACATGAAGTATCGAGGTCCTCTGAAAGGTACAATCTGTTTTTCACACTCTCTCCATGTAGTCCTCCTTGCCCATCTCTACTGGCAATGAGAAGGGGGAGTAGTTCAGTTCAAGCCAAAATGCTTGAATGTGTTCAGAAAAGGAGTTATATTATTCTGCCAGTCTTTAGTTCAGCATAGCAAACTGTCACTATATCCTTGATGGGTACAAGTTGTATTTACATGAGTGTATTGCTAATGTCTGTGGAATCCTACTATTGTAGTAGGAAAAAAGCACTATGACCCCATACTTGTAGAGGGGCAAGAGGTAGCACAGACTTTCTTGCAAGCAATCCTATGTGATGCTAATACTGCCTTGTGAGCTATGGTTCTGGCAGTTGAGGCAATTGCTAAGTATCCTCTTGTCTGTACAGGTCAGGTTTTTCCAAAGGAGGGCCAAAATATTAAGGACTTCCTGTTTTACGGCACAGGGTTTAGCATGAGAAATGATGAAGCACTTCAAAGACTCCAAGGACTCCAAGGCTACTCTGCATGCCCTGGGAGCTTGTGCACACAGTTCTAAGAGGGAACTGAAGTTATCAGCCCTGTTCCTCTCATAGGCATGCTCAACATTCATTCTCTGCTGCTGCTGCTTTGGCATGTCACTCTGAGGAACTGCCCAGAAGAGAGTCAATGGTTCCATAAGCAGAAATAGTCTTCAGTGGCACCTGCTGCCTAACAGCACATACAGCAGGCAAGAGATGCCTGTAGTCTACAGTCTTGCTCTCCTGTTTCTTCCTTTTGATGACTGGCTCTATGTTCCAGGCACAGGCCCATGGAGGAGGTAGACCTCTGTATCAGTATATTAGAGCTTGGTGCATTAAGTTGAGTTTGCCAAGCCTACATCCACCTTTGGTGGCATCATGTACAAAACACACTGCTTTACATCAATGAACAGTACAGAGCATGCTTGTGACAGGAGTATCTCTACTGGAGCCTTTCTATTGGTGGCTCCGCCCTCCTGTTATGGGCCAACAGCCTGCTTACTTTCCT